ATTTATGCTGTATCCAGCTAATAACCATCTTACCAATCACCATTACTGTCCGTACTCACCAGGCATACCAGCACAATAACAATAGTCAGCTTGAGGTTCTTCATACACATGGCTCGTGCAAGGTTACGACTCGTCGTCTTAAATGTGACCGACTAGAGGAGCACAGACAGAAAATAATGTCAATGCTAAACATAATGCATCAAAAAAGTAGCATTAAAAGTAGCATGGTCTTTGAACTCACTGAATCAACCAGATTTTCTGTCTTGTCAATCAGCAGTTCCAGCTTCTCTCCTCTTTGAGCTACCAAGTCTGTAGAAAAATAAAAAGTTTAAAACACACACACACACACACACACACACACACACACACACACACACAGGGAGCCAGAGTTAATTGGGGATACACGTAGTAATAGTATTCATATCAAATTGTGGTTTAAATGAGACTATCATCTGAGACAGTGATCCTCCAGTTTTCATAAGAAATGTATATAATAAATAATGTTTGGTTTTTTTGGTTAGAACATTTGCTTTAGGTATAATGACCAACAAACAACAGTCCTTCACTGCCAAATGAGGTCACTGATGAAACCACAACATCCATCCATTTAAAGATTAAAAAATATTGGTCACACATAGCAAGCCTTATCTGCTTCAATTAAATGATCACACTGGTAATTCTGTGAATATTTTACTTCTAGCTCTACATCAATAAGAGGTGTATTAGGCATCACTATATGAGGAGACAGATGAGTGGCTCACCTATGTTGCGGACCATAATGCCCTTTAGGTCATCGACCTGCATCTGAGTCTCGGTGAGACGATCTGATCCGCGTGGGTCTGAGTGGTGTTTCTACAATAAGAAATAAGGACATGAAAAGGAGATCTAATTGTATATGTTTTTTTACGGAAGACCAAAGTAGATAAAAGCAGTCACAGATCCCTCACAAGAAAATGTGTCTCGGTATTCCTGTCATACTCACCATCTGCGCAGCCAGTGTTGATGAGAACTCACTGTTCATGGCGTAGGGCAGGGCTGTTTGTGCTCGTGACCCATATGTGGTCTGGAACCGCTTCTTGATCTCACTGAGAAAGCTGAATGCACGTGACCTCTCAAAGTCCTGTAGCAAATGAGAGTTTAATATACACTAGGTTCAGAAAGTATTCAGAGTACTTCAGTTTTCACACACTTCTCTGTGTTGTATATTGACCTTTAAATGGATAAAAGTGATATTTTTGCCTCACTGTCATTATGGGTTATTGAGTATAAAGTGAAAAAGGTTTAAAAAATGTTTACAAATGTATAAAAAAAATTTAAAACCAAACTCTAATTTACAAAGGTATTTAGACCTTTAACTCAGGACTTTGTAGAAGCTGTTCTGGCAGAAATGATAGCTTCCAGTCTTCTTTGTAAGTCTCTACACAACTCAATTTTGGCAGTTTATCCCATTCTTCGTGGCAGATTCTCTCAAGCTCCAGACTATGTCTGTGAGCTGTCATCATTCAGGTTTCTCCACAGGTGTTCTATGGGGTTTAGGTCTGTACATTAGCTGGACCACTCAAGGACAGTCAGGGAGCTGCTCCAGTGTTGTCTTGACTCTATGCTTCAGGTCATTGCGCTGAGAGGTGATCCATCACCACAGTCTCAGGCTGCTGCAGCTTGGAGCAGGTTTTCTTCAAGGACCTCTCTGTATTTGACTGCATTCATCCTTCCTTCAGTTTTGACCAGTCTCCCTGTCCCTGGTGCTGAGAAGCCCCCCCACCGCATGATGCTGCTTCCACCATGCTTCACCATAGGGGTCGTATTAGCAGGCGATGAGCGGTGTCTCATGTTTTTGTCCTGGCATGTAGTGTGAACTGTAGGATGTTGTACACATGTAGGTGTGAACTATACTAAACTATGACCAGTTGGTTCTGTTTGTCACTGGTGGACTCCAGTCAAGTTCTAGCCACATCTCAAGGCAAATTAAAACAAAAAGACTGCAGTTTGGAGTGTCATGGCAATGGCTCTGAAAACAATTAAAGGACAGATTTTCAAATTTCCGATTTTTAATCAGTTTCTAAAAACGTTTTTAACTTTTCATTATGGGTCATTGAGTGTAATTTGATGGGTAAAAATGGCAATTGCATCAATTTAAAATTAAATGTGATAAAAACTAAAGTGTGCAAAAAGTGAAGTGGCCACAGCACATCAATTATAAAAACACACTAATTTAAAGATTTAGTAAAATGAAAAATATATGCATAAATTGTTGAGCTCTCATTCAAAGTCAGATGTATTACTTTAAAGTAGCACCCATCAAAATTAAAACAGCCCCATCCTGGATAATGAGAGGCACATCAAACAACAGAGGAACATTACTCTCAAAACCATTTCAAGAGACACTTGAACATTTACAGTTGGACTATTATCCAAAACCCTAAAGAAACAGACACATATCTGAGCAATTTACATACTTACATCATCAGTAATACAAAGGTATATTATTCTGTCATGGCAGATGTAATGGAAGAGATAGCTGAAAGACAAAAGTTGTCAACATTAGCACAGAGTCATGTTTTAATTTGTTAAGAGTACATCACATTCCCTAAACTAGACAGCACTCAAAGAAGGCAAACCTCCACCAAGGCAGCTCAGTGTCCCCATAACGCTATTCCACCTAAAAGCAATACTCCCATGATCGTTTGACCTTCATTGGGGCTGGACGATTAATCATTTTGTGAGTGTGATTTTGATCCCTGTGCAATCTCAGCCTCATGTGACAATGATTCTGCTTAGCAGGAGATGCCTTGCATCAAACCACACACTTTGGTGTGTGGGAGATCTTATGTGGATGTTGTCTAGCAGTTTTTGTCCAGGCATTCAGAGCAAGTTGCATGGCTTTAGAAGCCAAAATATTGAAATTAGCCCTTTCTCACAACAGTAATGAATCCTTTAAAAGATTACTGGATCCAGATGATGATCCAGACCACCACCAAAAACAGACTGTTCTGTGGGCATACCCTATCTCTCCAAAGTATTTCATCAAAATCCTTTCATTACTTTTTGAGTTAAGCTGTGAACAAACCACCAAACCCCAGTAAAAACATAACCTCCTTGGCAGAGATAAGAATATTAAACATTAACTAAAAGTATAGAGTAGCAAATGACTTATAAATCTAAATGACACTGTGTTCTGCTCTCTTTTTGAGTAAGGACATATTGTTAGCTGACTTTTTAATATGTGATCCATTTTATTGTTTCAGGTAGTGATTTCCTGAAGTGTAATTTTTGTAAGCTCTAAGCTTGCAGCAAACTAAAGTTTGCTAGCCTACAACAGTGTACACTGGATCTGAGAATGCAGACAAACTTGATCCTGTTGGTTTTACCACTCCATTGATTGGTAAGTTAACAACAGTCTGTTTATGTGCAGAAATAACTATATTACTTGCCAGTTTCTATAGTCATTTAATTGGAAAGATGCCCATGTGAATGCACACATTTGGCTTTTCCAGGTATTGCTTTGGAGTTCAGTGGTGTTGGAGGAACACATTACATCAACATCTGTTAGAAATAATCAACTGCAATACCCAAGTGGATCTTAAAGTACTTGTGGCTTGCAAGTAAGCAACATGGTCTATATGGCTGTAAATAATATCACATGATTTTGCAGAGGGCTAATTGGAGAATCTGGAGTGTTAGAAGAATCACAATAACACACTTTCTACGCACATAACTTTTACTGCCTGAACTTCATGACAAGTATAGCCTGTCTTTTGTGTCCACCATCACTGCTGAGAATTGTTGCCAATGAAAGTTTATATTTACTTGAAGAAACCACCGGGAACCAATGGGGGTGGGTCCACCCTAAGATTTGTATTCAGCACTCTGGTAAATTTGCCACTTAAGTGTTGCTTTTTTCATAACAGCAATGTTATTTATCTGACACCAGTCTTGGTCCAAACCAACAGGATATAAACTGTCAAATGAGGAAAAATGAAGTCAGCTGCAGCCACAGCCTACAGGTTGGTTACTGCTGTCTGTGTATGGATGTGTGTAAGACTTACCTGCCGTGGCTGTAGGTCAATTTGTTATTCTCTGAGGGGATTTTGGCTAAAATCTGTTCAGTCACTTCCAAGAAGTTCCCACCACACCATGCATGTTTGGCCAGAATGGTGGTTCCACGAGCCACCACAGCAAACAGGATTGCCATGGCAACAGCTGGGGTTTCAGCGCAAATACTCGCTGACAACACAAAAGTAACAGTGAAAGTCAGTACCACAGAAGAGCAGGAAGTACTGGGGAAGCAGGAGATTGCTTAACACAAAATTATTCTGGTGAAACATTTGACAGCAATGTTACGTCACAGATAAAAGGAAATTGAAATTGAGGAAATTCTATCTGACCATTTCTGTAACTAAGACTGACCAACAGTGTTAGTAGTGACCGATAAGATATTCCTTAGCTGGACCCAAGATGCGGATGTCACGAGAAAGGAAAACGAAAGCCAGATTAGCTGACTGTATAACCACAGGCTAACTAGCAAGCTAAGAATGTTGTTGTTGTTGTCTAATGTACACGTCGGCGTTAGGTAGAAAATTGGCTGTTTGACGTATCATTTCTAGTTACGGAGCTACCACAAATAGCAGTTATATAGAGTAATAATAGTGAATCAAATACCTCGATGTGTCAGCGCTGTTCAAAGTTGCTCAACATATGAAGAGGTTTCAGCTGCTAGCAAGCTAGCTAATACCTTTCAAGGGACTTTTGCTTTACAAATCACTCAGACCTTCTGACCAGAAACGGATTTTTTGTTAATGTAGTTCTTATTATATTCCTTATCCTACGAACTCAATTCTAATGCCCTGCTTTGTGAACTACATTTCCCACATTTCTCTTGTGTAGTCGTCATTTTTCGTACATAGTTACGTCACGTTATTACAACAAACGTCTTGCTGTAACGCTGCCGCAATGTTGGTGCGTGGAAGTGTACCTTTAATGTTCGTCTATGAAGACGAGGCATAGCCATAATAAAAAAAAAATCATACCTTGCTGGCTTTACAACATTTTAGCATTTTAATTTATTATGAAACCCAGAAATGTATTTATGATAAAAGCTTTTTGGTTAAAATAGAAAGAGAAATTTTCATACCAAAACATTTTAGCCATTTTTTTGTAGATGACAACAATAATAGACTATTTCTATAATATAATATTTAAGATTAACTTATCCATCGTAATTCGTTTCTAAGCATAATATTATTGCATTGTAAAATGTATGACTTGGTATAAGTTTGCTAATAATGTTAAAGATAAATACAGACTTCGGTAATAAAAACACATTTTTATAAAAACTAAATTTAAAAGATTTAAGTGAATGTTTCTCAATCTTCACTATTTAGTTTTAATTACATCTAAAGTAATTTATTCATAGTAGTAACATAGTAAATAGGGTATTTACAAAAATCTCTGCTATCTGAAGTGGGCAGAACCTGCTAAAATATGACAATGAAACAACTCAAGCCGGATGTGGCATACACTGGTATCTATGATCCACAGATATATGAAATATAACTTATATGTAGTTTCAGCTGTTTATATGTTATCTTACAAGAATGACTACTTGTTCTGCTATATCAAATTCAACAACACAGTCAGCATAAGAATAACATTTTAAGATAATTTCTCACTTGTTTATTGTTATTTGTTGCTTGATTTTTTGTTTGTTTTTTATTTTTCGTTATGACACCCAAAGTCAATGCATTTTCTATTTAAACTGGATATAACCCCGCTGCAATATGGCGGACTGTAACTACAGCATATCTATGCTCTACAGTCTGGATTAGTGCGTTGTTATAAACCCTCATTATAGTCTTACAGGCGGCTTGCGCACTATTCTGGCAGCAGGAGCCCATAAACCTTCTTTCACACAAGTGGCCCAGGTTGTACCCACATACAAACTTTAAAAAGTCTGGCCTAGTGACTAAATTTATTGATATTTTTTATACTTTACTGGTATAATCACTCCCCTTGCCTGTGTTTGTTACTGTTAAATGTTTATACATAGACAAGACCAAAAATGAAAGGCCTTTAGAGGCAAAATGGAACTCCGTTTTACCCTTTTTCATGCCTGTCAGACAAAAAGTAGGGCTCAAACATTACTATATTTGTATTGATGGACGGAGTTGAAACGTAAAGCATGGCTGGAGAAGGCGAAAAGAGACCCGTGCTGGAAACGGTAAGAAGTGAAATTAGTTTAGGTTGATGTTGTATACAGTCACTGGGTTTTACCATTGTTAAACTATTAAACCAAATAAGCTAATTTTAGCATTTCGACCACATTGCGAATCTCACGTGGCTAGCTACAGAGGCTAGCAGTGAAATATTTGTTATTTCACCTGGAAATTATGTGATACCCAAACTACACCAAAGGCTATTGTCGTTACTGTAACCTTTGTTGTGAACACATAATGAGTGATGTTGTATACGCTACGTTGTCTTTGACGTGGTGAACCACTCTATCTACTGCTTCCTTCTCAGTGCATAGCTGACTCAGAGTTTCTCCACTAGGGGGCAATATATAAACTGACAAAGTATTCCTTCAGTTTCTAAACAGGTTGTTCAGTATGTTCAGCTGCTTGTCAGTGCTTATCATCTAAGAGATGATGAATATTGAATGTATTGGCAGTGCATAATAGTTCTATTTCAATTTGACTGATTCTCCCACTCACTGTTCTCCAAAGAAGGAGTTGGACAGTGTTTCTGTTTACAGTTGAATGTCACTTCTTAATAAATTCTTCTGTTTTAGATCCAGGCCGAGGGAGCTGATGAGGGCTGTGTGACATTTGTGATGCATGATGAAGACCATACACTGGGCAACTCCCTCAGATATATGATCATGAAGAAGTGAGTTGTTTTTTTGTAGCCTGCATGTACTTGCTTTGCTGAAAATTTCTTATGAATTTGAAGCTGCTGTTCAGGAGAAACCTCAGGGTAAGAACATCAGCAGTCATGCAACAAAAATATCACCCATGGTCTAAGCACATCCACTGGAAGTATCATATTTAACAGTACTTAAGGTGTGTCAACAGTGGAAACATGACAGTGCATGTTGTAGGACAAAATAACTGATAACAGATGAGTTATCTAGAAGAATCTATCACAGCAGTGTGTATTTAGAATGCTCCTAACATGCCAACCTCATGTACCTGTGATCATATGATCAAAACTCAGCCAATCAAACAACTGCCAATTGTGGTTTCAGCTGTCTACTCTTGTTTAACATCAGGAATCTAGGATTACCAAATTAACCCCCAGTCCGAGAATAAAATTAGCTGGATAAAATTAACAAGTTTATTTTAACCTGAAATCAGTATGTTAGCATGAATTACGAAGGCCTCATTTGGAGAACATGGCCTTGGTCACCTGGGATGTGGTGATAGTGGAGAATTTGTAATCACACAACACTCCTCGACCCATTTGAAGTAAATCATTGATAAACACAAATCTCACTTTCACTTTCTTGTTTTCCATCAGTGTGGATGTGGAGTTTTGTGGCTACACCATCACCCATCCGTCAGAGAGTAAGATCAACTTTCGCATTCAGACACGAGGTAAGAACCCCCATCACTTCATCTTTGTTTTTTCCCTGGTACAAACTTGGCTTGTTTATACAGTGGATATAAAAAGTCTACACACCCCTGTTAAAATGCCAGGTTTCTGTGATGTAAAAAAACAAGACCAAGTTAATGCAGAACTTTAGCCACCTTTAATGTGACCTATAACTTGTACAACTCAATTGAAAACAAACTGAAATCTGTTTTTCAGTGGGAAGTAAAAATAAAAAACTAAAATAATGTGGTTGCATTAGTGTGCACACCCTCTTACTGTGGGGCTGTGACTGTTGTCAGAATTAAGCAGTCACATTCAAACTCATGTTAAATAGGAGTCAGTACACCTGCCATCAATTAAAGTGCCTCTGATTAACCCCATATAAAGTTCAGCTGTTCCAGTAGGCTATTCCTGACATTTTCCTAGTCGCATCCTACAGCAAAAGCCATGGCCTGCAGAGAACTTCCAAAGCATCAGAGGGATCTCATTGTTAAAAGGTATCAGTCAGGAGAAGGGTACAAAAGAATTTCCAAGGCATTAGATATACCATGGAACACAGTGAAGTCAGTCATCATCAAGTGGAGAAAATATGGTGCAACAGTGACATTACCAAGAGCTGGACGTCCCTCCAAAATTGATGAAAAGACAAGGAGAAAACTGGTCAGGGAGGCTGCCAAGAGGCCTACAGCAACATTAAAGGAGCTGCAGGAATTCCTGGCAAGTACTGGTTGTGTAGTACATGTGACGACAATCTCCCGTATTCTTCATTTGTCTGGGCTTTGGGGTAGAGTGGCAAGACGGAAGCCTTTTCTTACAAAGAAAAATATCCATGCCCGGTTACATTTTGCAAACACACATTTGAAGTCTCCCAAAGGCATGTGGGAAAAGGTGTTATGGTCTGATGAAACCAAGGTTGAACTTTTTGGCCATAATTCCAAAAGGTATGTTTGGCGCAAAAACAACACTGCACATCACCAAAAGAACACCATACCCACAGTGAAGCATGGTGGTGGCAGCATCATGCTTTGGGGTTGTTTTTCTTCAGCTGGAACTGGGGCCTTAGTCAAGGTGGAGGGAATTATGAACAGTTCCACATACCAGTCAATATTGGCACAAAACCTTCAGGCTTCTGCTAGAAAGCTGAAGATGAAGAGGAACTTCATCTTTCAGCACGACAACGACCCCAAGCATACATCCAAATCAACAAAGGAATGGCTTAACCAGAACAAGATAAAAGTCTTAGAATGGCCCAGCCAGAGCCCGGACTTGAATCCGATTGAACATCTGTGGGGTGATCTGAAGAGGGCTGTGCATAGGAGATGCCCTCGCAATCTGACAGATTTGGAGCGTTTTTGCAAAGAAGAGTGGGCAAATATTGCAGAGTCAAGATGTGCATTGCTGATAAACTCATACCCAAAAAGACTGAGTGCTGTAATAAGATAAAAAGGTGCTTCAACAAAATATTAGTTTAAGGGTGTGCACACTAATGCAACCACATTATTTTAGTTTTTTATTTTTACTTCCCACTGAAAAAAAGATTTCAGTTTGTTTTTCAATTGAGTTGTACAAGTTATAGGTCACATTAAAGGTGGCTAAAGTTCTGGAATTATTTATCTTGGTCTTGTTTTTTTACATCACAGAAACCTGGCATTTTAACAGGGGTGTGTAGGCTTTTTATATCCACTGTATGTGCATGCATGTGTAGGACAGCTAGAGAGTAAACATTTTCTGGCAGTCTTGCAGAGTAAACATGTTGATTGGAGTCTGGTGTGTTCATTTTGTCCACTCAGCCACACAAGACCTGTGACAGACTTTCAGTAGCACGGTGCACATACATCCCCTCTTGTTCTTGTCCACAGAGAACTATAACCACTTGCCTTGCTTCAGTCAGTCAGTCAGTCAGTCAGTCAATCAATCAATAATCTGTCTGATTTACACAAAGTATCAGCAGATAACAGCATCCCCATCACATGAAAGGACTCTGCAAGACTGAGAAAACAACTTGTTTTTGATGTTGAAATCTTTTTAATGGTGCCTGGAGAATCTTTCTTCACCTTCACCAGAGTGAAAATAAGTGGGTTCATTCCTCCATGTCAGTTTTTGTTTCAGCATCACATTTTTGCTAAATCAGTTAGGTAAACATGGCAAGACACTCATGCTCAAGTAATGTTTACTTGTTTGATTGGACCTGTGTTGTTTTACAACGTTGTTTATGAGCATTGCTTACAGGCATATTTCAAATGCTTACTGTGTTTCCTGATTGTCACTCGCACATTGCTGATACATTTGTGAGTCCCACATGACTCTTATGTATTGGTTGCAAATTTGCCACTTACTGTTTTAATTAGTGAAACCTGTCAGAATGAGTGAGAATAAACAATCCCTTGTTGCAAATGACATGGGCCCCTGACAGTATTTCTCTCCTGCTTGGTTTCGCTCTGTCACCTGACAGTACTGGCTCAGACAGCACAAGAGACATTCATGGTTGTTTTTGTTAATACTATTACCAGCAGTGGTTTCCTCTAGAGGTCTGTTCTGTGTTTGTTTTTTTAAAGGGGAAATTCCAGCCACAGAGCCGCTGCGCAGAGGCCTGAATGAGCTCAATGACGTTTGTCAACATGTTCTCAACACCTTTCAGGTAAACATGCGTGTTACTGCTGATCCTTCATTTGGTAAACTGATCTGTTTACTGAGGAAAAATGACCAGCAGTGGTCTGATATTGTTGTTCAGTAGTATAAATGGCCTACTTTGAATCAGTATATGAGTAAATAAGTTACTGTATGTGCATAAGTGTGTCTTAGCTTTAAGATTATTCTCACCCCACCAAAACTTAGCCTGTTTACTGATGATTCACAGGCTCACACTTTCTGGTGCTTAGCAGTGTGGCATTGAACAAGGAGGATGGTCCGTTAATCCTCCTGTGTTGGTGACATCGGCTTTGCTGAAGGGTTTTTGACTGGGTTGTGCCAGTTCTTCATAAATTAGTCACAAAGTTATTCAGAGTTAGTAGTGTTCATACAGTTTCTAGTGAGTGGTAAACATCAAATTATCCTAACCTAGTTGTCATTTTTTAACAATTTCGTCAAATATTATTGCCAAATGTTTTATAATTTGATGTTAACTTTTATGAAATTAATTAAAAAGATTGAACTCATTATTAAACAACATATATGAATTTGTTCCGTCTCAGCTCAGATAGGCCAGCTGTTCTCCATATCACTCTAAATGGGTCATATGTTTGCTAGCTAATGTTAGTTTACTCAGTTGGTAGATACACCTGACAGTTAGTGACTGTAAATATTTAATAACCACTGATACATATGTCAAAACCTGTTGGTTTGTTTGGTGCAACCTGTTTTATTGTAGTCATGTAAAACTCCACTTGGTAAAAGCTTGGCAGAGTCTGAACTTCCAAACAGCGGCTGCAGCAGGGATTCTGTTCAAGTCATGTGGCACTGATTAAATTAACACTCGCCACACCCCACCTCTAACTTCTTTTTTCTTTTATTTTGGTCCAGGCAAGAGTTGATGAGTTCAAAGGAAGGCAGGAGCAACCAATGGATTGAAGAGCATCACACATGTGGGGCTTTGACACACAACTGCAGTTCCTGCAGACAAACTGTAAAAATGAGTTACCTTGATCTTTTATATACTAGACAGATAGTTGTGGCAAGTTCTTCTTCACTAACTAGTTTGATCAAACATTTGTACAGTTTTCTTTTGTATTATGTTCAGATTGATTTATGATGTATAATAAATGTGAATTCTTGTCTTCTTCACTTTTGAAATATTGGAATGAGTAGTGAAGCAAATTTAAAACAGCAAACTTAGCCAACACAGACTTTCTTTTCCTTGTTTTTGGGATTTCATGCAGAGATTTTGTAACACAAATCGCTACGCTGTTTGACTTGCGCTGTAGTATTTATTTTCACAACTACTCATGTAACAGTGTTTGAAGGAACCACAGACCTCAAGTGCTGAGTTAGTCAATCACCAGATTGCTCTCATCTGTCCTTTGAAACCAGGTTTTGAGGAGTGAAGTTAGCCTGTCCTTTTTAGCAGAGGAATGTGGTGCAAGGGACTTGATACGGTGCCAAGAAGACAGAGGGAAAATGAGGGCAGAGAAGTGTAAATAGTGAAGTTGAAGCTATTTGACCCGACATTCACCCCTGTGTGGTGCTCAAGGATAGGCGGGTATGGCTGCTCGCTGGTGAGGACTCTGCCAACTTGATTTTGAACAACTTTTCTTATGACATACCACAATTTAATGTGTTTGGTGTAAAAGGGAAATTCCCAGAACTCATCAAATGTACAAAACTACATCAACACTTCAAGTATTTCTTCAGAGAATCATTTATTCACAGCGGCTCTGGGTGACTGAAGAAATGATTCTCTACGCTTGATGTAGTTTTGTTTAAAATATCACTATCACGAAGCTAAGACAAAATAATGGAAGTCCATGGTGTTTCAGTGTATGTTTGGCTCAAAGTTAATTCCTCCAAACTGAATTAATATCATACTGTAACCTAGTCTGGTCAGTTTTATATGGTTTGTGAGATATCAAGCAAAATTCTTTCCAGTTTTCTTTAATAGTTTTCTCTAACATGGACTGTGAACCTCAGAAGCAAGGCTTTATGAACTACTCTGAGGAAAAACAAAATCAAGTTACCTCTAATAAATAAGGTTCCCTGTCGTGTGCAACTTGTGGTTGTTTTCAAGAAAAAAAACGGAACTCCTTTAAATCTGTGACATGAACTGATTTTACATCGGTTCATGTTGGGTCTTTTCAGGACTTTTAATCTTTAGCTATCTCCATAAACCTGTTTCTTGGAACTGGCCTTTGGAGCCTAATGTCTGATTGTCAGAAGCAATAACTTCAAACGAGGAAAGGCCCTGGAGAAGGTCATTTGTAGCACATGTTCTCCTTTGATGGTCTTTCTCTAAACTCTGATGTAAACCAAATGTGATTGAGAGATAATATTTAACCTTTGGCAGGCTGTTCTTAACAAAGATGCCTGTTTATGTTCACTCCTGTCAAGAATGCACCGGCCTCTCATACCACAGCTGTGCTCTTATTTTAGAGGGGAAGTCTAAGCATTTTTGAGAAAAGGTAATCTTGATATAACCGATAATATATAGTAGATACAGATGATGACAAATTAAAAACCTGCATACATGAGCAGCGTTTCCCAGGACAACAGTGCCCCCATCCACAGGGCACAAGGGGTCACTGAATGGTTTAATGAGGTTGAAAATGATGTGAATCATAAGCTTGTGGCTTTCATCATCACCAGATCTCAACCCAGTTGAACACCTACATATATATGGGAGATTTTGTGGTGATGTGTTAGACATCGTCTCCATCGCCATCATCAAAAACAGCATGAGGAAACATTTTTTGGAAGAATCGTGTCCTTCCCTCCAGTAGAGTTCAGAGACTTGGAGAGTCAATGCCAAGGCGCACTGAAGCTGTTCTGGTGGCGTGTGGTGACCCAGCACCTTACAGAGACATTTTATGTTGGGTTTTCCTTTATCTGTCACTGTTCGGCAACTATGTCCCTGCAACATTGTGACCAGGAATGAGCCTAAATTCACATGCTATAACTTGGAAAGTAAGTCAAACACCACAAACACACAAATAATACTTATTACTATATAGCCTCAACAAACACGTACAATATAAATGTAATTCAAAACATTAGGACCAGTATTCACATTTGGCAGCCTCTGCCTGGAGAGACTCATAAAGCTGCCCAGGTCGTCCAGCAAACTGTTGCTTTTAGATGTGGCTAAAAGCAGAGTGAAGGCGACATAATGAGTCACACACACTGCATCATCTGATCTGAGCACTGTCTAAAAAGTATTTTCTTGTGTTGGCATCATAGGATATGTCACAAGTATGTGAATGTATCTGATTATGTTAAAGAACGCGCATCGAACATTAATCTTAAAAACATCCTGCTGTACAAAACCATTTTTTCATTGCTATAGATTTTAATTGGGCCCATTATAGAAAATGTATTCCATAAGCAGCTCTCTGAAGTCATTTTCAGCCTCAGGAACATCTTTAAACCTGAACACTCACTGATAAATGTGAAATGTTTGTAAAAGAACACCACGATTAAGCAAACTCTTTATAGTATAGGTTGTGATTTTTTTAAAAGAGGAATAGAAGCTACATTTTCAGAGAAAAGTTAAGACTTTACACACAGTAGAGAATATGAATACTGTAATAAAAACTAGTACAAAAAGTAACCTCTTCTGTGTAATATGATGGGAATCACCTGGTGTTTGTCAGCCTTCTTGGACAACAGCTGCCCTGCACATGTCTTAAAGCAGCGATGATCTCCAAATAAAACTTTACAACCTTCAAATCTCCATGTGACCATGTGAGACGGTGGGGCCCATTTCACTCAGGTATGACGCCAAACAGCACATGGGCATCGACCAGTGATAGCACTCAGCTGATTGTCAGATAGATAAGCTAGCTCCTGTATATGCAGAGGCACACGTGCATGTTTTAATAAAAAGACTCCTCAGTTTTGAGACTTTTTGGACAATAACTCAGGGTCATGGCTTTTCTGTCTTTGACATGAGGAATTCAAGCTGGTAAGAGTAGTACTTATAAGTGCTGTTACTCATTCATACAATGGGTACAGAAAGTATTCAGACCCCCTTAAATTTTTCACTCTTTGTTATATTGCAGCCATATGCTAAAATCATTTAAGTTCATTTTTTTCCTCATTAATGTACACACAGCACCCCATATTGACAGAAAAACACAGAAT